AAAAAAAGTACAGTGCGAAGAACATATAATACAGAAATAAGTAAGTACAAAAGACTTTCCTCTAGTTAAATAACACTAAAAATAAATTGTAATTATAAGAAACTCTTCATATTACATATTTTGTATTCTAATGTACAAAAGATGAGCAAGACACGTAAATTTACAGTTTCAAATCATTTGAAGTTATTTTAGTCTCAGCGTATCGTGATCACGGTATGTGGTTGTTAAAATGGTGAATGCATTGAAAGATATATCCATTTACTTTATAATACGACAGAGTTATTATATTTAAAATTAGTGAAGCGATAAGACAATATGCATTGACCTTTTTCGTATTTTAAAATAAAATAAAAGTGTATGGTGACCCAGTCATGTATTCGTTAAAATGTTGAACGCACAGAAAGATATATCCATTTACTTTATAAGACGATATGGTTATATTGAGTCTAAAATTAGTGAAGTAAGAAGACAATACGCATTGACCATTCTTTGTACTTAAATGTAAAAATTAAATACCTTACACTTACTGAATAGTGTGATTACTGAAAGCATGGATACACTCAAAAATATATCGATTCACTTGGTAATATGACTGGAGTCTTGTATTTAAGTTTGAAGAAGAAGTAAAATAACGCAGATTTATTATATTTAATACTTAGAGGTAAGATAATAATATTCAAAGTAACCAAGAAAATTTCTTCCTATGAATATTTATGAAATGGAGCATATATCCAGATTCTTCAGAATACTATGAAATTTTTGTATCTAGTGTGAAAAAGAAAATGAGTGATAATTATTTATTATTTATTTTAAGAAGGAAAGCAAATGGAAATATTTCACCAATTAAATGTCGAATATCTGATACGCATTTATTTAGTTTATTACAATTAATGAAAACAGTTCTATATCCACAAACATTTCATCAAAAACAAGACCAAGTTTGTTGTTTTTTTATTTTATTTTATTTTATTCTATATTATTTTTTAAAACTAACAAAAATCAAAATCAAAAGATAAAAACCATTTAACAAATACAAAAGAACAATATGAAACAATTGAAAAAATGATATCTGTTCAACAAATTCTTCAAGAAGAAAAACAAATTCAAGTTAAAACAAATCTCGACCAAAAATAACACATCTTTTATTCAATTTTATATTAAATTATTTGCGTATTTATTTTAGATTGATACTATTTTGTTATGTGCATTATTAGATTTAATATATTATACAGACGAATTTTCACATATTTTATTTGAAATAATTGAAATACCAGTAAATATAAAAACTTATGATACTGAATCAAACGGTTCAATAGAAGGGAGAATCATGTCTATTCTACTCACTCACACACTCTCAAGATGTTATTGATCTTTATATAAAATTTCATTATCAATATATTATTTTAGAAGAAAATAAACCAAATGATTTAATTACATTTGATTTATTTTCATTTAATTATGAAAGGAAAACTGAAGAGCAATACTCATTTATTTAAGGTCAAATTGAAAAATAAAATTTTCTTTTTCTTTACAAATATTTTCAGCTTATATTATCATTAATTAATTTATTTCAAACAAATCAATAACAACGAAAAGACAAAGATACATCTTGTAATGAACCAACTTTTCTTTCATCGATTTTACAAAAAATATGATGAATACTCAATTGAAGGTAAAACGGATTTTACATTGAATGCTCCACAAAGACGTATTCGAATGAATTCATATTCAAATAAAAGTATTTTAATTGATTTGGAAAAATTACAAATGAATACAGATTCAAATGAAAACAGAAATTGTTCATCTATTAAACAACATGAAATTACATTTGATAACTTTTCAACGAGTCGTTTTATTTTCAAAAGGATAAAAATGAATTAATTAATAAAATAATTTTATTAGAATATTTATTATTTGTAATATTAATTAATTGTTCTTTAAATTCACAAAATGATTACAGTGGAATTAATAATTATACATTTATTGATAAAATTTTTAATGAAAATCTTTTTTTTATCAAATTTGAAAAATTGATGATATTCAACAAGAAGAAGAACAAATTGAAACTAAACATATGGAATCATTAAAACGTATTTCTAAAAAATAAAATTTACAAGAAGATACAAATGTTTATAAAAAATTCGGTCTAATTTTCAAAGAAAACAAATTGGTTAAGGACTTAGTCATTCTTAAATAGATTCTTTACAATAATTATATAACTCAAGATGAAAACTCTAAATTCAATTAATTGAAACAAATTTTAATTTATTATCAAATTCAACATTTATTATTACATGATGTTTGAAAAAAACAATTTCAAGTTTTATTCACAAACATTTTAATGTTGAACAAAATACATTAATATTTAACATGAATCTTCAATTTAACAAATCTAATAGAATATAAGGTACAGATTTTTATTTTTTAATTTGTTAATGGTCAATTAGAAAATTTTTGCATTTGCAAAAGTCTGGACATCCATCCAAAACAAATTATTAATGTATTTAATAATTTAACTTATTTTATGAAAATATGTTCATTTATTTATTTTCCATTAGATTCATCCAAACATTTCGTTTCATCTAACATAAAAATCGTAAATGAAAATAATTATTTGATTCTTTTAATAAAGCCATGCATTGTAGCATACGGATGATGAACAATGTCCAATAGCTTCTTGTGAACGATTTTGCTTTGAAATGACAACTGATCTTGATGAAACAAGATTACAAGTATTTTTTCTACCAGTTAATGTTTATGCCGAAGATTCGATTGTCGTAAGTATATTTAAAAAATGGTTGGAATTTTTAAACATTCACTGCATGCTATAAAGCAGAAATGTAACTTTCATGTGAACTCATCAGATCAACTTATCTTTTTATATATGTCAGAAAACGAAGTAGCTCTATTGGCTAGTAGTTAGTAATGCTTTCGTTTTGAGCAATTTTGAGTAAGATCATTTGAGAAAAATAGTTATGATTATCTCATCATGGTATGTTTTTCAAATTTACTTAGTTATTAAAATTGTCTAAAGACTATGTCATTTAAGTGAGATTATCGAATTTCAACATGCTAAGCTATTACTTCTGATTTGTATCTTGATCTTATTAATTCAATAAATATGAATGATATATTTATCGATCTCTGAATAACTCTAACAATTCTTTTCCTTTTCATCTAGAGAAATAAAACAGATCAACATTTATCTACTAGATGTCTTCAATTATCTAGTTTAAGTATTCGTGGTCATGCAATGCTTTCACATGAAGGTTTACCACCTGAACGTGAAACACTTGAATATGCTGGGCAAATGGAAATTATACTTGATAGTATCTCAGCTCGTTTAACAACAAATCAAGTAAGATATCAGAAACAAAAAAAAACTTTTTTTTGTAAATAATATCATTTTATTGTTTTTAGTTAGAAAAAACCTTAGGTTTTGTTAAAAAACTTTATTTACAAATAATGGAAGATGAATATACTCTTACTCGTTCACGATATATATTGATAAAGCAAAATGGATTGAAAAACATAAATATGATGTACTTAGATTTAGTTCAGATTGAATTGATTTTAATCTCATTGAAGTTGGAAATGCTGTTAATGTTCAAGTAAGAAATATTCTATATAACTTCTTCATCTTTCATAATTTTCTTGTTTTAGATAGCACCTATTTGTTTATGTATGTGCAATATGCATACATCATTATGTAATGAAAGTTTAACATTAAAAGTTGGTACAATACAAATTCGATAATTATTACATCTTTATCCTGGTTCATGGTTAGAACCTAGTTCAAAAAAGTGTCCGTGAATCACGTATTAATGCAAAATTTGAATATCATCCACCAACACCTGCTACAACAAATGAACAATTAGAGTTTCTTCGTCGAGATTATCAACATTCTCAACGACCTCATTTTCTTTATAATCCTAAATCTCAACAAACATTAAATATTCCAACAATATCAACAAATTTAAAACGTCCATCTTATGTTGGTTTAGCAACAAATTATTATACACTTGTGCAAGATGAATAATTTTTTAAAGTACATTTCGTCCTAGTCAACAATCATCATTTGATCGTTCATTATTTCATACGGAGTTATATGTTTTACATTCACATTTTATATTTGAACATAAATATAATTGGACTAATTATGAACATGTTAATCGATTGCACGATGAATTAGATGATAAAGAAGTTTTTTTATCCATTTGATTTTTGTGGACAACATAAACAATCTAATAAACAACATCAAAATATAAATGATAATTCATTATAACGTAGTGTACCAACAGATTTATATTCATTTTGACGTGCTACTTCATTAAGAAATTTAGAACATAAATCAGTTATTGAACGAAATGAACATGAACGTTCATCATCAATTGATTCATTAACAGCTCTAGAAGAAATACTTCAAAGACAACAAACAAGAAATAGTACAACTTTTCTACCTCAAAAAGTATATATACATATATTATTTGAAAGAAAAATCAATCATAGTTTTTTTTTCGTTCTGAGATATTAGATTTATTTGTTTAGTGAGGTAATTGTAACTACAAAAGTCGACATCAGTTATTTTTTCCACTATTTTATATACTAACAAACTAGACTGATTGATTTCTATTTCAAGTCTTTCAAAAAAGAAATATCTCGATTTCTTCGATTCATATTATACATAGTTAAATACATTAAAAAAGTATATTCAGATTTTTCAAATAATAAGAATTGAATAATTTGTTTAAAGATAAAATATAATAGAAATATTTCTATCTTTTAGGGAACTTCATCAAACATGGAATGTAATACTGTACCACAACCATCTCTTTCTAGTTCTTCATGTATAAGTTTACGTAATCAAATGAAAATGCCTTTACTAAAATCGACTCTTTTATGTACAACATATATTTGTTATTTATCTTATTATCGTTCTTCAACATGGTCCAATATCGCTACATTCCCACCAAATACTCAATAAGATCAAATTGATCATCGTCCAATACTTGATTTTAATTGTGTATCTCAAGGTTTTTCTTGCTCGTATCTATCTGAAATGTTTCCATCTTCACAATAATTTACTATTCTATTATCTCGACAACCACCACCTCAACAACAATCGCAATCGCAAACATCATTATCAACAACAACAGCAAATTCTCGATCACGTCTTTCAATTGTTCAAACAATGTCACCAGTAAATGCATCAAATATAATTGCTACAAAAAGAAAAGTATGCATTCGATTTATTGGAGCATTTAATATTCTTTCAACACCACTTATGCTTGAAGATTTAACAACATATATTGAAAAATGGAAAACATATGATATTCATCCAATATCTATTCTTGAGAATCTTCATGTTCAAGCACAAGCAGGTCAAGTTAAGTGTGCTCCAAATTTGAAGTTTATGGATATCTAAGTTTTCGCCAAAAACTCTACCTAAAAACTGTAATCATCTGTTTT